CCCTCCTCTGCTTGGCTGAGTTTGTCCTCACCCTCAACAACTTCTCTTTCAACTCCTCTCATTTTCTTCAGGTAAGAGGGATTGCCATGGGTACCCGCACGGGCCCTAGTTATGCCTGTCTCTTGGGGTACATGGAACATTCCTTGTTCCAGTCCTATTCCGGCCCCCACCCACAACTCTTTCTCCGATACATTGATGATATCATTGGTGCTGCTTCCCTCTCTCGTCTAGAATTGGAAAACTTCATCAATTTCGCCTCCAATTTCCACCCTGCCCTCACTTTCACCTGGTCTATCTCTGACTCTTCCCTTCCCTTCCTCGACATTTCTCGGGATAGACTGGCCACTAATATCCATTACAAACCCACCGACTCCCACAGCTGCCTGAACTATACATCTTCACACCCCACTTCCTGTAAAGACTCCATCCCATTTTCTCAGTTCCTCTGTCTCCATCGCATATGTTCAGATGAGGCCAACTTCGACAAGGGAGTCTCCAAAATGTCCACATTCTTCCTCAACCGAGGATTCCCCAGCTCCGTTGTCGACAGGGCCCTCAATCGGGTCCGACCCATCTCCCGCACTTCTGCCCTCACCCCTTCTCTTCCCTCCCGCAACAGCGATAGGGTTCCCCTTATCCTCACCTACCATCCCACCAGCATCCACATCCAGAAGATCATCAGACGCCATTTCCGCCACCTCCAGCAAGATGCCACCACCAGACACATATTCCCCTCCCCTCCCTTGCCCGCCTTCTGCAGGTACAGTTCCCTCCGGGACACCTTGGTCCACACTTCCTTCACCCCCAACACCCCCCCACAGCCCCATGGCACCTTCCCCTGTAACCGGTGAAGGTGCAACACCTGCCCATTTACCTCCTCCCTCCCCAGTATCCAAGGGCCCAAACATACCTTCCAGGTGAAGCAACACTTCACCTACACTTCCAAGAATCTAGTCTACTGCATTCGCTGCTCACAATGTGGTGGTCTCTACATTGGGGAAACGAAGCATAGACTTGGCGACTGCTTCGCAGAACATCTACGTTCTGCTCCCAAAAAAGACCCTGAATTATGTGTTGCCTGCCACTTCAATGCACCACCCTGCTCTCTGGCTAACATCTCTGTCTCCGGCTTGCTACAGTGTTCCAGTGAAGCCCAACGCAAGCTGGAGGAACAACACCTGATTTTCCACTTGGGGACCCTACAGCCCTCCGGATTCAATATTGAGTTCAATAATTTTCGGGCCTAAACTCTCCCATGTCCCAGCCCCCTACCCCACACACCAGGCCTTGTTACCACGTAGCCTGCCACTACACACCCCCTGTTGTTAGTCCCCATTAACAACTACTCACCCTCCCAGCCTGATCGTTAGCAACTCCTTTGTCTGTCCAACTGTCTTTCTCTCTCTTTAGGCTCTATTCTATTGTTTACTCCCTACCCCACCCACCTCCCTATTTTCTGCATATAAACTGACGTTTTCCCAGCCACCATCAGTTCTGAGGAAGGGTCACCGGACCCGAAACGTTAACTCTGTTTTCACCTCCACAGATGCCGCCAGACCTGCTGAGCTTTTCCAACAACTTTGTGTTTGTTCCTGATTTACAGCATCTGCAGTTCTTTTGGTTTTTATTTACAACATATTTTATGTTCAGCTTTTGATTGGGGCTGCATTTTTATGACGATATATGTTGATAGTTCATATCCTAAATATGTAAGATTTCAAATTAATAATTGTCACTTTTTTATTGTAAAGAAACATTGCTGTTTAACTCTGACCCTGATTTGTAACAGGAATGGTTGCAAAATGGAAAGGAAAATTGCAATATCAAACGGAAGTAAATTGTTTGGCAGACACCAAAGTTGCAAGCGTTCTCATCAATTTCTACATTTTTCTTTCTCCAGAAACAAGGTTGTATTTGGTTGGCTCTTCACTGAATGGCTTTGGTACTCGTTACAGTGATGCAGATCTGTGTCTTGTGTTAAAGGAGGAGCCGGTATGTTTATTTTTCATGCCATTTTTGTCTTGTCATTTTTGTCAAATATTGCTGTATTGAAAGGGATTTTTAAATTTATTCTTGTAGATCAATCAAAGAAGTGAAGCATGTCACATACTAAGTTTAGTTCAGCAACTTTTCTACAGACTATGTAAGTTATTCTTTGAAGTTATTATGCTTTTGGTGATACAGTATATAGAACAATACTTCCCAACATTTTCAGTGTGATCCCTTTTCAAGGATTCATAATTATTAAGATCCCTGAGTGAGAATTGAGAGTGGGAGCACAGCTTAGGGCTCCATGGCCCCACTGCTGTCTTAGAGCTCATGCTACTTTGGGAACTCCTGGTGCAGCATGTGATAGCATTTAATAATAGCTTAGTTAGGTGTGATAAAATGAAATAAGACAAGGGATATGAGAAAGGGTCAGGCATTTTGGGTTAGGGCAGTTGCTTGTGTGGATGATAAACACCACAATAGATTGCTTTGAACCATCTGTTTCTGTGCTGCACTGTCTGTATTTATGTTTGGATCAAGAAGACAAAATTTGATATTTCACCAGGGTATGTGGTGTGAATTTGTCCTGGTAATTTCCTCTCTGTTTAATTAGTTGGTGGGGAAGATTTAACATATTACAGATGTCTGATGTTTCCTTAACAGGCAGGGAAAAAAAGGAAGTGCTGTGGCTCACCTTTTAGCCACAGAAGAGTGTATGGCAGGATTTAGCTGAAAACCTTTTATCTGCTTCATGTTGCCCAGCAGAAAATTAGCATATCATGTACAGGATCCCAAAACAGCTTATGCTGTGGAGGTTGCTAGGGAAAGTGCAGTTAGATGGTACTTAAAGGTCTGTTTTGAAGAAAGATTGAGTTTTTAAATTTTATTTACAGCTTACATTGACAGACCTCAACTGATCCGAGCAAAAGTGCCAATAGTAAAATTCAGGGATAAAGTCAGGTACGTAATTGAGCGACTTCTGCTGAGAGCTGTTCCATTATAAACAGTAATGCAGATTTTTGCCTTCTAAATTTGCACTCCACCAATCTTGTTAAATCGTAGCATTTGACTTTGGATTTCAATGCTGCCTTTTTTTGAAAAGATCTGAAATTGTAGCATAACAAGTATTGTTAAATTTGCTTAGAAAAAGAGTTTTACTTTTTTTAAATTTTGAGAATGTAATAGAAATTGCTTTATTTTTTGAAATACTGTTTTCTCTTACCTGTTTTGTGCTCATGAATGAGATGCTTTGATAGTGGATCACTGATTTAGGGAATTGAAATCTGGATGAAGACTAGTTCTGCTAAACATAATAAAGGCTGATTATATTGGTTTGAAGCTGTCTCTAGGCTAAAAAGTAATTATAGAGCAGTGTATTGATTTTAAACCAAAAGTTTTCACAAATGCAGCCATCAGAAACCAGATTGAACTTGGGTGACTAATTAGTTTCATTGAAATGTATTTCAACACCCTCTGGTTGAAATGTTGATTCATTAATTTAGAACAGTGTCTTTGGGTTTTCTAATCAGTCATAGAATCATAGAGATGTACAGCATGGAAACAGACCCTTCGGTCCAACTTGTCGACGCCGACCAGATATCCTAAACTGATCTAGTCCCATTTGGCCCATATCCCTTATAAACCCTTCCTATTCATGTATCCACCCAGATGCCTTTTAAATGTTGTAATTGCACCCGTCACCACAAGTACTCTGGCAGCACATTCCATACACATTCCACACTCTGCTTGAAATAGTTGCCCCTCATGTCCCTTTTAGGTCTTTCTCCTCTCACCATAAACCTATGCACTCTAGTTTTGGACTCCCCTACCCTGGGGGAAAATGAAAACCTTGACTATTCACCCTATCCATGCCCTTCATGACCTTAGTAACCTCAATAAGATCACCCCTCAGCCTCCAACGATCCAGGGGAGAAAGTCCAGCCTATTCAGCCTGTCCCTCTAACTCAAACCCTCCAATCTGGCAACATCCTTGAAAGTCTTTTCTAAACTCTCTCAAGTTTAATGACATCTTTCCTAAAGCAGGGAGACCAGAATTGAAGGCAGTATTCTAAAAGTGGCCTCACCAATGTCCTCTACAGCCACAACATGACAACTCAACTCCTGTACTCAATGCACTGACCAATGAAGGCAAACATGCCAAATGCTGCCTCCACCAACTTGTCTACCCACGATGCCACTTTCAAGGAACTGTGTAGCTGCATCTCTTTGTTCGGCAACGCTCCGCAGGGTCCTACGATTAAGTGTAAAAGTCTTGCCCTGGTTTGCCTTACTTAAATACAGCACCTCACATTTATCTAACTTAAACTGTATCTGCTAATCCTTGATCAGATGGGCCAAAGGGCCACGGTCCCATTGTACTCTGAGATAACCTTTGTCACTGTCCACTACACCACCAATTTTGGTGTCATCTGCAAACTTACCAACCATACCTCCTGCATTCACTTCCAAATCATTTATATAAATGACAAAAAGCAGTGGACCCATCAGCAATCCTTGCAGTACACTGCTGGCCATCACAGGCCTCCAGTCCGAAAAACAGCCCTCTGCCACCTGCTTCTGTCTCCTACCTTCAAGCCAATTTTGTATCCAGTTGGCTATCTCTCCCTGGATTCCATGTGATCTAACCTTACCAACCAGTCTACTGTGCGGAACCGTGTCATATGCCTTGCTGAAGTTCACATAGACAACGTTTACTGCTCTGCCTTCATCAGCCTTCTTTATCATCTCTTCAAAAAACTCAATCAAGTTAGTGAGACATGATTTCCCATGCACAAAGCCGTGTATTGCAACATTGCTGATAAATCCTTTGTTGCTCATTCAACCTACGCTGAAAGCAAATGATCATAGATCATAGAATCCCTACAGTGTGGAAACAGGCCCTTCAGCCCAACAAGCCCACACTGACACACACAGCATCCCACCCAGACCCTTCCCCCTAATCTACACATTCCCTGAACACTTTGGGCAATTTAGCATGGCCATTCCACCTAGCCTGCACATCTTTGAATTGTGGGAGGAAACCGGAGCACCTGGAGGAAACCCACACAGTCACGAGGAGATTGTGCAAACTCCACACAGACAGTCGCCTGAGGATGGAATTGAACCCATGTCCCTGGCGCTGTGAGGCAGCAGTGCTAACTACTGAGCCACCGTGCTACCCATGGTAAGCCAGCCATGTTCCCAGTCATTCATGGAGACCTCCCAAGAATATTTCCCTTGGGAGCTTTGTCAAGGTTTCTCATATCTTTACTGCACAAACCATTGTTTTTTCCTATTGTTGGTATCAATTGTAATAGAGGACTACAAGTAGCGGGGAAAGTCTACAAGTCTTCAAAGTCATTGAGATAGAAATTCAGTGCACCAACCTAAATGGAGACTTTACACAGATATCGGCATAACTTCCAGTTGGGAGGAAAAGTACTGCCTAGTTAGTGTTTATGTTTTTTGAAGCTGTATCCAAAGAATTTATAGCACATTAGAAGACCATTTGACCTGTTGTTTTTGTGATCATTCTGCTGGATTAATGAAGAAATGAATCCCCCACTCTGCTTCATACAACGCTCGATCATCAGTAAAATAACAGAAGGTGTCATTAGCAGGTTGATCCCACCTGCATTTGCTTTGTAATAACCTGCTCACTGATACTCAGTTTGGGTTCCACGAGGGCCCCTCAGCTCCTGACCTCACTGTAATCTTAGTTCTTAGATGGGCAAAAGAGCTGAGTTCTGGGCATGAGATAAAGTGAGAGTGACTGTTCTTGACATGATGGCCGCATTTGACAGACTATGGCATGAAGGAGCCCTAGGAAAACTGGAATTTGGGAAACAGGAAAATTCTCTGCTGGTTGGAGGCATATCTTGAACAAAAGAAGGGGATTTTTGGAGGTCACTTATCTCAGATCCTGGACATCTCTGCAGGAGTTCCTCCGGGTAGTGTTTGAGGCCTAGCCATCTTCAACTTTATCAACAACCTTCATTGAATATCATAGAATCCCTACAGTGTGGAAACGGGCCCTTCGGCCCAACAAGTCCACACGACCCTCGGAGCATCCCGCCCAGACCCATCCCCCTATAACCCACCTAATTAACACCTCTCTGAATACTACGGGCAATTTAGCATGACCAAGCTACCTAGTCTGCACATCTTTGGACTGTGGGAGAAAACCGGAGCACCCGCAAGAAACCCACGCAGACACTGGGAGAATGTGCAACTCTACACAGTCGCTCAAGGGTGGAATCAAGTGTGGGTTCCTGGCGCTGAGAGGCAACAATGCTAACCACTAAGCCACTGTGCCTTCATAAGGTCAAAAGTAGAGAATTACAGTGATGTTCAGCACCATTGACAGCTCTTCGGACACCTAAACAGTCAATGTTCAATTGCATTAGGAGACGGACAATGTCCAGATTTGGGCTGACAAGTGGCAAGTGATGTTGGTACCACACAAGTAATGACCATCTCTAACAAGAGAGAATCTGACCATCACCGCTTGACATTCAATGGCATCACCATTGTTTAATCTCCCACTGTCAACATCCTAGGGGTTACCGTTGACCACAAATTGAACTGGAGTATTCCTACAAATACTGTGGCTGTAAGATCAGTTCAGATGCTAGGGATCCTACAGACTCATCTCTTGACATGGAAATAGATCACCAATCATTCAGTAGTGCTGAGTCAAAATCTGGGAACTCCCTCATGTAATTGTGGGTGTACCTATGCCAATAGACTGCCGCAGTTAAAGAAAGCAGCTCACAGACACCACCTCTAGGGCAACCCCAGGCAGATAATAAATGCTATCCTAGCCAACCATGCCCAATTCCCCATGAACGAATAGAACAAAATTTTTGCGCCTGTCACTTTCTATTTATCCTCTTTTTCCTTGAGAAAAATAAATTTGTCTTTGACTCAATCATTTTCTCTTGTAAAGCTTTTCATTATTTTTTATTCTGTGTTGGAATACTCCTCACTTGCCTGGATGAATGTAGCTCCTAAAACACTAGAGAAGTTTGACATCATCCAGGATAAAGCAGGCCAAGTGATTGGAACCCCACCCTCCACCTTTACACCAATGCACAGAGAGGTAGCAGTGTGAGCCATCTATAAGATGTACTGCAATAACTAACCAAGGCTCTTCTGACAGCATTTTCCAAATCCATTACTTCTACCATGGGCAAGGGCAGCAGAATATGGGAACACCACTTCCTGCAAGTTCCATTTCAAGTCACACCATCCTGACTTGGAACTACATTGCTGTGCCTGCATTGTCAATGGATCAGAATCCTGGAACCCTCTTACAACAACACTATGGGTGTCCCTACAGCTGAACTACTGCAGCAGTTTAAGAAGGCAGCTCATTAACGCCTTCACTGTAGAAGTTATGGGTGAGTAGTAAATGCTGGTTTAGCAAGTGAGGCCCACATCCCATGAATGATTTTATGCAATGAAATCCAAATACCATGACTCCTTCATTTATCCTTGTTAAAGATTTCTGAAATTTTACGTATATAGAATGTTTGCGTATAGAGATTTTATATGCAGATCTTAGCCATCAAAGTGTTTCAGACAATAGCCATCATTTTGTTAAAAAGTTACACTATTTCAAATGTTTGGCTGTATATGTTTCAAAATAACTGTAGATGACCTGTAAATCTGGTAATCATACCTATTTAGTAACTGTATGTTTCCTGAGCCTTTTAAAAATCTAGTCACTGTTGCTTAAGCAACATTTCACTCCTCAGGAATCTCTTGAATCCAGTGGATTTTGAAAATAAATTGTTAAACTTTTAATTGTTGACTTTTTGCATTTTCAGTGGTGTGGAGTTTGACTTGAATGTAAACAATGTTGTGGGAATTAGAAATACATTCCTACTGAGAAGCTATGCATATAGTAAGTACTGTACCTACATATAACATATCACCCTGCTATCCAAATGTCACATTTTCATTTGATTATGTCACATGGCTGACTTGTATGGTACGTATTCTTGGTGTGTTTAAACATCCAGCAAAATTTAAAAATAGGCTCTTTATGCTTGAAGTGTTCATTGTCACTCAGATTGAGATTAGAGGGTTCATCGAACCCATGTTAAGTGTTCTGCGTTTCCATTCTGGTGCTTGGAAAGTTATCCATGCAAGCTGATGAGACTTTTTATGCTGGATGCACTTTACTTCCAATTCATAGGTTTGCTTTCTGTAAGGCTGACAAACATGTGAATGTTGGGGCATGATGCCTATATATTGTCACATTATATTTTCTTCCTCTCCCTCAAACGATGGATGCGGCATTCTCACATCAGAGGCAAAAAGTGACTTGTATTTATATAGCACCGTTTTTAACTACAGAATATCCCACAAGCCGCAATGTGATAATGACCATATAATCTGATACTGTCTGAATTAAAAATATTGGCCAAGACCGCATGGATAATTTCGCTGCTGTTCTTTGAATTGGTGCCATTGGATTTTTATGCCCATGTGAAGGACAGACAGAGTCTCAGCTCAACGTCTCACTTGAAAAGCAGCACCTCTGAAACCAAAGCGCTCATTCAGTATTGCACTGGAGTGTCAACCTTAATTCAAAACTGATCCTAAGTGGGTTTGGAAAATGACTAGGATAGAAAATGATGTGTACTCTTCAGAGATGTTTGGGGTGCAGGTGGTTGGAGTACAAGTGGAATACTGAGGTTTACTATTTTGAACAACAAACCTTATTGATACAAATAACCTGGATGTTAAGAAAAACAAATTTGATTCGGTGGTTACCTTTATTGATCAAGGAAAAATCTGAAGGACAGTCAAATTTAAGGAAGCAGATTAAAAATTTACAAAATGTGTTGAACAAATAAAACAAGCAACAGAAAAATTAAAAGTGTGGAATTGTATAGCTAGGAAAGGAAGGAAACATGGATGACACTCATTTGAATGCCGTGCGGTATATGAGAATGAAACTAAAATACCTTGGTGGTTTAGTAGACTTAAAATGATACATATTGATCTACTCAGTGGAATGTAATAGACATCAAAACCAATGAGGTGTGAAACAATATAGTTCAAAATAATGTTAAATATATGGAAGCTAATTTGGAAAAGTAGGACAATGGAATATGCTCAGTCTAGCCAAAGGCAAATTCAGGTTTGATAATTCTTAAAACAAATACATTAAATTACTGGTCTTTTTGGGATTGCATGCTGCAGTCCGGTATTTTCTATAATTTTGGTGGATGTATTTATTCACCAAGAAGTGAGCCCTTACTGTATCTGGTAGTGGTTGACTATAAAAGTGAAGAGTGACAATAATATATAATAAGATAACAGGTTGCAAATCTCATAATGCAAGCTCAGTCATTGCTCACGCAGGAGCATAACATTTAGCTTGTGGCATCTTGCTTTGTGTCAATTTTGTTTTTAAATGATTTATAATCTTGCACTGGAAATCAATCAGTTAATCAGGATTAATAGAGCAATTTGGACTGACTCTACTGCTGTTGATATTTGGCATGTTCACACATTTTTATGTCTGTTCTAGTGCCACTGACCTGTTTTTTTTTTCTTAATGTTAATTCTTCCCATAAAATAGCAGACAGAGAAATATTGTACATGTTATTAACTGTTATAACTATAATAACATGTTATATCTATTCATTATTAACTGGCAGTGCTAATTTTGAGACCCAATGTTATTGAGGTTTTAACTAGTAAAATATATGTAATGCAAGATGAAAATCTTATTCATGTTTTCACAGTCCTTCAACAGAACTCGGCTCTAAACTTTCACATTAATAATATTAACTCATCCTTGTGTCTCAAGATACGTATGTAAGCCATCGGGGGACGCCTGCACAAACTGATGTGTTAACAAGTCACTTTTCTTTCGTGAATGTAGAATGCACTTTCAGTCAGCATTACATGCGTCTTGTAAAAGTGATATGGCTGCATCTCTGGACTTGAGTTTCCACTGAGAAGAACTGAATCCAGTTAAAACATCTTGAAATTTAAATGTAAAATGTCGGTAAACCTATAAGATCAGGAGTGTTCAATTTAACTTTAGGTGTAAGGCTTGAGTCAGTTACAATTATATATCAAATTGAGAGGCAATCTGAAGGCTTTATAGTTCTGATAAGACCACTCTATGTTCGGGTGTGTTCCCACAAATTTATTAAGCTTATGACGAGTACATGAGGATGAAACTCAATAAAAGCAGTGGATGTTAGTCTACGTCAGTACGTCAGCTTTGACTTCTAGTTAAAAGGGCACTTGTCGGTTTGTTCTGTCTTTTTATTGCTGCACACCCAACAGTTAAAGTTGGCTCAGTGTGGTGCACATGCGTGTGCTGGAAGCAAAATATATTGATACAAAGGGCGCTGTTCTTGCACTTGTTTTAACTCAACAAAATAAGTGATAGCCTGGTTTGTTTGTCAGAACAATGCTCTGACCAATTTGCTTGGTTTAAAATTTAACAAAGTCTGGCTGTTAACCGCTTATCAGTATTAATAGGTGTTTTCTCCATGGTAATGCCTCTACCGGTTAGAGTCCATTTCCCAACCAATTAATACCATCCTGTCATGCAGTACAAATGTTGGTTTTTCCCTCGACTTCGTATTTTTTCAAAACATCCCGATGAGTGTAAGACAAAAAGCTTTGACCGAATGTTTCTTTTTTCAGTAACATTTAACTATTAAGATCTATTGCTTCTTAACCCTTGCCACCCACTACTTCCCGTGCATGGTCAGTGGTATCTCTGAACTCTAATTAGCTTGTCAACAAATGGTCAGTGTCAGACTGGATAGTCAGTTTGTGCCCATTTTCTGATTTGATTCTTAAGAGTGATGGTCATATTACTGACATCACATCCTACCATCTCCTGACTAGTTTGTTTAAGATGTCAGTTGTTAATGGGAGCATCCTTTTCCTGAAAGCTTTTCGCTGTTAGCTTACTAACTTTATAGATCTCCACAAAGATAATATAATACCAAAGTAATGTGTATCTGCTTAGAGGATAGGTACTTTCTAAATAACCTGCTCATAGACATTATTACTCACCTTTGGAGCAGGTGGAACTTAAACCCGGAATTCTTGGTCTAGACGTAGGCATGTTACCATGTAGTATCTCATCCCAAATGTCCGTTTGATGCATTTAAGAGACCCAGAATCCAATGATATATTTTAGTTAAGCAATCCTTTGTTAATATGTGACTTCACAATAAGTGTTGGCGTCTACTGCCTTTCTTTGCTTTGCAGAGAAATGGGATCATCCTGCCAAAAATCAAACCTTATTGCTTTATTGAATTGCTAAGTGTCTCTCTTCTAACTTTAAAATTGTTAGCCTGACAGAATAAAAGCAGTAAGAAGCCCATGACCTTACTTTTGACCTAGACCCTATGTCTTTTCTCACCAAACAGCAATGTGACTACAGTCAAAGGCTCATGTAATACCAGTGTCTTACTACATTGGTAACAATTAAATAACATGTTAATACTCACTTGTTTGATTATTACGCACAACTAAATTAAAACTAATTGTTGAAAAATAAATTCAATCTTAACCTTTTAAAATAAATTATTTTTGATTTGTTATAATTGCAATAGATTCCAAATTGCGTAAAATATCCAGCCCTCTGGAAAATAAATTTTGAGCCATCAGGGCTCCTATCTTAGTTGGATAATTTCTAAATTCACCACTGTGGCAAACTACATCTTCTGTTTTCAAGGATTTTTCTTTTGCAGCATAAGTGAGTGAATTTTGGCTACTCAAAAAGGCTGTGTTTGTTTGTGCCAAAACATTAGGGAAGCACTTCCTCCCTAATCACAAATACTGATGTGGTGTTAGTGTCACAGCTTAGGACTGTGAAGTGAGAGATGTCTTTCAGTACAGCTGTCCTTTTTGTCACGGAATTATGCATTTTGCAAGCTGGTGCTTCATTATGCCCATCTTTGTAACAAAATTAGTTAATGGTTTAAAAAAATGCAACTTTTCTGGAGTAGGGTGATTTTAACAGGTTTTGTATTGGCAGAAGTAATTGTTGATTTATTTTTTGTTCAGTGGTTTGTTTCAACATTGTTTCACTTCAAAATTTTGTCATCATATTTTTAGATAATTGCGAGTTTCCACCCTTAGCCAGAATTGAAGAAATCTATCCAGTGAATTGTTGGAAATTAGAATTTACCTTTAGTGGAAGAACTTGAATTTATATTTCCTTAGCAACTGTGCATTATGTTAATATATCGTTCTTCATTGTACAAAATTTGACTGGTTGTAATGATGAAAATCAATAACAACAAGTATTTTTAATAATATCTTTTTAAAAATCATCAGCCATTGTAGGGTTTGAAACCCTGACATTGAGTCCCACTACCGAATAAATGAGCAAGCCAAGTGTACAGAAACTCCCTGCAGAAAGCCTTTTCAATTTGTTCCAATAAATTAAAACAACATTGTTTAACATTACACTGGCCTTGGAGGAAAACAGCATGCATATTGGTGAGAGTAACTGTGCATGTGCTGTACCCACAGTGCAGTGTGAATACATGTGCACAAATGTTGCTGACATTTTTCTGGCCGGTGTCGGGAGATGATGATTCACAAAGTAGAGAATTAATTCTGCCCCAAGACTCTAGATAATTGTATTTTGGAATTGAGCAGTGGTTTGTTTCAGTTTTTCGGCTGATAAAATTTATGCAACATCTTTCAGTATGTGACATAAATGCCAAACTAAAAACGCATTATTGTGAATGCTGGAAATTTGAAATAAAAGTAGAAGGTACTGAAAAAGCCCAGCATATCTGGCCACTCCACAAAACAGTCACATTAGACTGAAAACATTTAACTCCGTTTCTCTCTCTGCAGATGTGACCAGACCTTAGATTTCTAGCCCTTGCTGTATGTGTAGGT